TGGGAGCTGATGAGTTCTCCAAGTGAAATGGTATAGGTGAACAGAAATGGGACCAGAATAGATCTTTGAGGGACACACATTTAGTAAGTGCCAACTGGATGAAGATCCAGCAAAGGAAACTGAGGAGCAAACAGGTAGGAGGTGAACCAGAGGAGAGGAGTGTCACAAAAACACAGAGAGAAGAGAGTGTCAAGAAGATAATAATCAACAGTCAAAGGATGCAGAGAGCTCAAGAAGAATAAGGACTGAGAAAAGACCATTAGATTTGGCACTTAAAGGGGCAGCTAGGTGGCGCAGTGGATAAAGCTCTGGCCTTGGGGTCGGGAGGACCTGAGTTCAAAATCTGGCCTCAGACACTTGACACTTACTAGCTGTGTGACCTTGGGCAAGTCACTTATTGCTTCACCAAAAAAGATCACTAGTAACACTGGCGAGAACAGTTTAAATTGAATGATGAGATCAGAAGCTAGACTCCAGAGTTAAGAGAGTGAAAGGAGAGTGAAAGGAAAAGACTTCCTAGGAATTTTCAGCAAGAGAGTAGTGGTCACATAAGTAGGAGGAAAACCAGGAAACAGTATTATCATTAAAAACCCAGAGAAGAGAGAATATCCAGGAGGAGGTGGTCAACAAGTCAAATGCAGCAAAAATGCAGTTAAAGAGAGATGAGGACTGAGAAAAGACTATTGGATTTGGCAATTAACAGAGCTTTGGTAACTTGGACTTATCTTTTGTACTGTACCACAACATATTCCCTACTTTATTATATATCGTTCAAGGAGAAGCTAGCCATGCAAGTTCAGGCTACTCGGCTTAAAGGGATATGGAAACTAGATAGAGCATTACAGGAACAAATCTTAAAAGGAAGGTAAAGTTTGTTCTCCATCTAATGAGATCAAATATCATTCAATACTCTGGCATACATTTACACTCATTTCTTGGCTACTTTGATGGCTCCATGCTCTCATTGATGTGATGGAGTCCATTAATAACCCATTGATACCTTTTCATACTGGGTGAATCTTGTCCATATGTTCCCATAAAGAGGTACCAGGGAGCCCACCTAACACAGCAGGGGCCTTAATTTCTCTTGACACTGTACGGACACCAATGGAGCAATGGGTTGTCCATTGGTTATTCCTTGTCCTAGTCATATGACCAGCCCACCTTCTTTTCTGGCCATACATCTCTGATGACATTTTTTTTATGGCATTTCCCTTGTGTCATGCTACGTTACTTAACACTTTGTTTGGCTCTAAGCAATTGATAGTTTGGGTAATTGCTCATTTTCCAGAAGATGGAGTATTTATTTTCTCTTAAACTCACTAGTTATTGCAATGTTTCAAACATCATAGCATCAATACTAAAATAGGACTTGTGATGTCATTGGTATAGGAAATTTTCAAGTGAGGAACTTCCCTCTATCAATTCAGGTCAATGTTTTCTCTGCAACTTATTAGTCTAATGGAGTTGCCTAGAGCACTAGGAAATTTAAGTGACTTGCCCAGGATTACACATCCAGGATGTGTCAGAGGCAGGACTTGAATCCAGATCTTTCTGGCTCCAAAGCCAACATTCTAGTCCAGGAATGGGGAACCTTGCAGTGGGTGTGGCCTTTTGACCAAGTTGAAGTTTTACAGAAAAAATCCTTTTATTAAGGGGATCTGATCTGTGAATTTTGTTTCCAGTCAAAGGGCCACGCTTGAGGACCTAGAGGAGCACATGTGGCCTCAAGGACGCAGGTTCCTCACCCCTGCTCTTGTCACTATACCACAACTGCCTCTATGAATAGCTCACAATAATGCTATGCTTTAAAGTTTGCAAAACATTTTCCTCATAATAACCCTGCACAATAGATTGTACAAATATTATTATCCTAATTATTTTTTGTCCTAATCCTAAAATGAAGAAACTGAGGCACAGAAAGATTAATTTACTTGCCTAGGATTATACAGCTACTGTCAGAGCCAAGTGAATTTTTTCTGCTTTTAAATGTAATCCACTAGATTAAGGTGGAAATTTTTGATTGAATGAATTTCAAAAGGGCAAAGGTATTGCATAAACTGACCATAGAAAACAAGTATTCCAAATCTTCCTCCAGGACCAATGTGGCAGGTGTGAGAAAAGTGCTGGGAAAAATAACTGGAGATGCAGTGTTGTCAGAGGGGAGCCAGGTTCCTTTGGAGGCTAATAGATGGAAAAAAACATGAGAGAAAGAGGAAGGAGGAGTTTCTTTACTATGGAATGAGAATTCCAGAGGACACAGTGGAAGGAGTAGGCAAGGTTGGATTGGGGCATGGATGGAGTCTGGTTGAGAAATAGGAGTGAAAATAAACGAGGCCGTGGCAGGGAAGTTTCTTCCTAATGTCAAGTGATTTTTACAGAGATAGAGATAGGGTATCTAGTGCATGCTGGGGAGGGTGTAGGGGAGACAAGAGAGGGAAGTAGAATCCAAATCCTCTCTCCTCATTCTCCGTTACTGTAAGATTATAGGGCTAAGGTTGGACACTAAGGGGTGACTGAACCTCTTCCAACTCGAGTTCATTAAAATTAAAAGGACCATCCAGACTGAACGGTTTCACTGTCTCCCCTCTTCTTTACAGACGTCAGCTGTAATCCTTTCTATTGTCTCTTCTTTCATCTTTCTTTCTAGTTTATGAAGTGACCCTCTCTCCCTGATGACTACCATAGGCTTTTATCTCATTCTTTCTTAACTACTATTTGCTTCCATACCTCCCCCTAACTCAATTTCTCTCTCCATAGATTGCTTTTCTACCTTCAAAAGTAGACTTCCCCATTTAATGTTTTTCATTCTGTGTGTATCTTTGAGATGTTTCTTATACATCCATCAAGTTGCTGGGTTTTGCTACACTGTTCAATCTATTTACATTTAAGATTATTGCTAGGTTTGGCTTTTGTCTATTTTGTATCGACTTTTATCACCTTTTTTTTAAAAAAAAATCACCACTTCCTTGAAGTAGACAGCTACATAGGTAGGTAGTTGAAAACAAAGACAATAATTATGCCCCCCACATCCTTGACTCTTTACCTGCTCAAATAACTGTTATCTTTCCTCCTCTCATCCTTACCTCTTAGCATATACACTTGTAGTAGCCATTGCAAGAAATTTTACTTCACTTTGTTCTCCTTGTCTCTCTCCCTCATCTTTCCCCAGAACTTAGCAGTGTCTGGCACATAGTAGGTGTTTAATAGATGATAATTAACTGTCTTCTGAATTTGTCTCATTCGTAAAGTATTATCTAATTATGTCTTTATTCCCTTACAATAAGGAAACGAACATGAAGTCACAAGACCTCGTCCCTTACAAGAGGCAGAGCTTCTAGAATACCAAATCCGAGTCTTTCTCTTGTATCCCAATTCTACGTGATCACATTTGTAGATCTCACACCAAATCCCCTTCTCTTCACGTATTTTATCTATGGTTTTGTTCCTGATGGGGGCCTTCTGCTACTTCACTTAAAAATACCAATAAATTAAGGAAGGAGTGCTGCAGAGTAATCACTCTTTCAGTCATGAGGCCTAGTTCAGCATTCAGCACAGTACCTGGCACACAGTCGATGCTTAGTAAATGTTTATTGACTGACTGGTCCTAATACCTTCCCTTACCATGTTCACCACTACCAAGGCTAGGTTATCCTGAAGCTAGAGCTAAGCCTCTCCCTTTCCCTACCCCCATTACCACCACCCTTAATGCTGGCAAGGACCCACATATCCAACCCTGGGAGATAAGATGCAATCCTCAGAGGCACAGCCCTTGTCAGAGAAGGCAAACTGTCACAATAGATGTGCCTTCACCTCCATCCCTTAACTCAGGCATGCACTGTCCTCAATACCAATTGACCAAAAAGTTGATGGGCAAAAGAATTTGATAACAGCTGCTAAATCTTAAGAATGAAGAGATGTTAATCACTTGTCCAGTATAGCAATTATTTTGGCAGGGAAACTAGTAGCAGTAGAGAACAAGCCAAACTCAAGATTAAGATTGAAAGACATTCAAAGTCAGAGACCCAAAGCTGTTATTTTGAAACAGCCACCATTATTTGGTTTCAATGCCAATATAAAGCTACTTTTTGTTTATGTTTTATGAATATAGAAAAGCTTCATAATACCTCTCCCAGAAGATATGCTTTTCTTCACCTAATTTTGTCCAAGTCATAATTCCTTTAAACATCTCCCCTCAAGATTTAGAATTTCATCTTCATAACACAACTAATCTTAGTATTCCATGCCTTTGCTGTATTGTTGTTCTTCTCTCAACACTTTTTGATACAAATACAGCTCAGGCCCCAAGAAATATATGAACAAATGCACCACCTATGATACAGATTAACCAACGCTTTCACGCTTTCAAATTACTCTGATTTCCAGAGTCTGTGAAATGAAAAAATGACCTTGGAGCAATCAGGCTAAAAAGATACCTTCCACTGAAGGGGGAGGATGGAAGAGTAGTTGAACAGAGAGAGAGAGAAAGAGTGTGTGTGTGTGTGTCTGTGTGTGTGTGTGTGTGTGTGTATGTGTGTGTGTGTCCCAGGACCCACCTTTTACTGAGAAAACAATACACACAATGATTTACAACTCATTGAGAAAACTATTGTTTATTTAGAAAAAAAGGTTACACTGGTAGAATTCCGCAGATTAAAAACAAAAACTTAATGACATAATGAAACTTGTCAGACTACAGTTCAGTGATTAAAAAGCTCCTGTAGCTGTAGAACTGAATGAAGCTTAATTAATTTTGTTTTTTTGAGGAATTCTTTTTTTCCAATTTATCTAAAAACATTATAGACAAAGGAAAAGGTTATGCGGCATGTGACAGTTGAACTACTTTTTCTTTTTAAAAACAAGTCTTAATGTTGTACACATAATAAACATAATACAATTCCTAAGGACTGCATGAAATAGTGCTATCACCTTGTTTTTTTAGTCATTGATATTAAAAACAGGCCAGATAATAATAAATAAAAACGGAGTTTTCAATGAGGTAACTTCAAAATGATTAAACAGCTGTTTATTTTGTTTCCAACAATAAAAAGAATGCATTGAAAATTGACAGAATGACTAAACCCAGGCAGTATTTAAACAATCTAAACTGAAATTCTAGTACACATGTAACCTCCTCATTTGCTCCATGGCAACTGTTTGTTTGCAGCACATTGTGCTAAAAAAAAATAGGGAATAAGTAACACTTTCAGCCATGTACTGAAAATAAATGTGTAAGAACCTAAGCAACAAGTTAAAATACAGAAATGCACAACTCAACAATTTTTAGGTTTTTCAGCATGGAGAAAATAAAGCAGAAAACTGAATAACTTAAGGAGATGTAGATGGGTCCTCTCTGTTCACAAATTTCTGTGCCATCTACTTAGGAAAAGATATTTCTGATCAAAGATGACAATCTTTCCATTTCACCTGAAAGAAACAAAGAAATTACACTGATAAGTTGGTTTGTGGGGGAGATGGAAATCATAGTCTTGACAATTTTTTTTCTTTTATTTCAATGTTAAAGGCCATTAAAGCCATTTACAATGCCGAGGTGTATCATAACAACATAAAAACAACAGTGTAGTAGAATTATAAAATTTTTAAAGCCTACAATATTCTCAGATAAACTATCCCAAAGGCACAATAGACTTGCTAAAAGTAAACAGAACAAGCCCAACAAAAAAGAACTCACTTTACATTATTAACAAATGGCTAAGAGAACAAAGTAGACAAAAACAAGGCATCACCATTTCACTTTTTTTTTTTTTTTTTACAAAGAAAGATGGAGACAAAACAAGAAGTCCAAAGTAACAAAACCTAAGTAAACTTCCTAGACAGCTGTCAGATGCAGGTTAACACCAACAAAATAAATATGGAAGAGGAAAAAAAGTTTTTACTTTTCCCAAGTATATCATTTTAACAGTGCTTCAAATAAGCAGTCTCAGAATTATGAAAACTGGTTTAGAAAAAAGCCCATTAACTCAACTCTACTCAAGTTTTTAACTTGAGTTTAATCATTAAACACAAAATTTTGTTAAACCTGAATTTACCTATTTCATTTGCATAAAACTGATAATTCCTATTTGTGCTTTTTGCACAATATCTAGTTCATATCAATATTTGTACTGCATTTTGGACACAAATGGCCACAGCGCTGGGCACATAATAGGCAGCAAGTAAATACCTGATCATGTGACAAGATAAAAATAAATGAAATTTTGGCACTCAAGGAACTTATAATAAGAACCTAGACCAAGGGTTAAGCAGTGATAGATGAGGGGATAGTAGACAGAACAGAGCAAGAGAGTTTTATATTTGGTAAGCAAGGATGTAGAAAGAAAAATGAGAGGGTAGAGGTTTTAAGTAGAAAGATAAAAGAGGTTTCACCTGGGCAATGTTACGCATAACAAAGTAGATGCTGGCAAGATCTAAAAGGATCCTGAAAGGTCAGGACCCAGTCAAGTGGGATAAGTGTCTTGTACTTGGGTAAAAAAAAAAAAAAAAAAAACCAACTTTGAAAGTCTAAGACCAGGAAGGCATGGTTAGAAAGCAGATACTCTGAAAAGGTACAAGCTCAATTTAAGCAATGTGATGTAGAAAACTAAAAAAGACTAATTTGATCTTGGGCTGCATTAAGAGTGTGAACACTTATAAACTTTTCTGTCCATGTCAGACCTTATCTGGAATATTGTGTTCAGTTCTGGGAGACACAGTATAGGGACACCGATAAAATAGTGTCCAAGGGAGGGCAACCAGGATGGTGATGGATCTTGAGTCTATGTCATATGAGAATCAGTTGAAATAATCGGGTATCATTAGCCTGGAGAAAGAAAGACTCTGGGGGACATGTTAATTGTCTTCAAGTATATGTAGAGCTATCATTTGGCAAATATATTAGACTTGTTCTGTTAGGCCCCATAGGGTAGAACCAGGAGTAATAGGTGAAGTTACAAAGTAGTAAATTAAAGACTGTTATCAAGACAAACTTCTTAACAAGCAGAGCTGTCCAAAAGTAGAATGAGTTGCCTGGAGAGGTGGTGGGTTCCCCTTCCCTCCTTTTCAAGATGAGGCTGGATGACCATGTATCAGGTACTTTCTTTTGTGTATGTTTTGAACTAGATGGCCAGTGAGGTCTCTTTCAACTCTCAGATTTTGTGATAATTCTAAGAGGCAACTTAATATCCCCTGGATAGATACACAAGACTAGAAATTAGAAACAGGTTTGGGAGTTGACTACAGGTCACAAAGAAATGAGTTCCTCTATTTCTACTCTTTGAAAGAAGACCAAGAACCCACAACCAACCCCGGAGGATATTATCATTTACTTGGTGACAAATAAAATACAAACTTCCCAAAGACTGCTAGAAAGAGCCATTAGGATGAGCCAATTCCTCTAAAATAAAGAAAACTGCACCAGTGCCATGGAAAACTCCAACAGGATGGAAAAGCGATTTTTAATTTAAGAGAACATATCAGTTAACATGAAACTCCATTATGTGGAACATTTCATTTTCCCAACAATTCTGGAAAACTTAAAGCATTACTGTACTGTCTTCATAACCTACTAAAGCAGTGTTTTAAATTCTAGAACCCAAATCAACCATATATTTAATTTTGAAATTCTTATTACCAAATATTTACTTAAAGAGCTTCTACTACATATAAAGTTCTATACAGTCCCTATCCTAAAGGACTTAAGGTGTAGTAGGGGAGCTAAAATTATGCTCACAAAAATAATTAAATGTTGGACCTATAATGAGACCGACAATCCATGAGAAGTGATAAGAACTATTAGATGTACAAAATCTCCTTTCAGTCAAAGAAAACTAAGCTTTTGATGGAATAAACACATCCAGAGATGGTAAAAAGCAGGACTGGCTGAAGTTAAGATTTTTTTTTTTTAAGTATGGGATGTAGTTAAGAGACTAAACCCAAACTGAAAAAAACAGTATTAAAACTAAGACAAATCTTGTTTCAAATTTATACTCAAAAGAATCAGTGGTACCTAAATTGAAATTTTAAATAAGGTCTAATTTTTAGGACAAAAAATCTTCACTAAAATGATTTTATGTTTCCATTTTGAAAGGGAAAGGAGGACAGAAAACTCTCACCTTGATTGAAAGTCTTCATTATCTGTGCTTGTCTGAAGACTTATGAGTAGATTTATCATTAAGGAAAACAAGTTTGGAAAAAAGTGACCTCTCTCACCAACAAGCACATTTGACTACTCTGGAAGTCCCAACCTACAACCAGCTCCACTCTGCCTGTATTCTACAAATCTTGCCTTCAATTGCCCCTACCACCCAGGGTTTTTTCCTCTTCCCTTTCTTCCCAGGCAGCTAGGTGGCACAGTGGATAGAGTGCTGGACTTGAAGTCAAAAGACCTGAGTTCAAATCCTGCCTTCAAAACACTAGCCATGGTGACCCTGGACAAGTCACAACCTCTTCTAGTCTCAGTTTCCTCATCTGTAAAATGAAGATAATAACAGCACCAACCTCCCAGGGCTGTTGTGAGGATCAAATGAGATAACAAGAACTTTGCAAACCTTAACGTACTATATAAATGCCAACTATTATCATCCAAGTGGTAGTGACAACACTGTCCTGAAACAGTGAACACCCTCAATGAATCTCCACTTCTCTTGACTGCACAGAATAGACTCCAGGGGCCACAGACCTTCCCAGGTTTTGTTATGCCACAAGCATCCAAGCTGATATATTTGTAAACATGGCTGGAAGGAGGTATTTTTTGTATTGGCAGCACATACCTAAAAGTGAATCAATTTCTGAAAAACTGTAACAATATTAGTGTTTTCTGTTATATTAAGTGACAATATCATTAAACACATACAGGATATTGCTTCTTCTCCTCCTTTCCTCCTGTACTGTCCCGTTTCTCTTTTTTCTCTGTTTTTTCCTTATCATGACGAGAGTCCTATAAGGAGTGTTAGAATAAGTTATGGTAAAGGACAAAAATGAAGTCACCCCATAAACCATGCTGATATTAGTCATAGAATTATTTTCTTTCAAAGCTACTTAAAAGCTCTTTGACACGTGAAAGGCAGCTTAACTTTAATAAAATTTCACCTAAAGTTAGCATAAAACTGCTAAGTAGAACAATAATGGAAAAAAAAATACACAATTGCAAAAAAAACATTCACCCAACTTTTTAGGACAGACATGATTTACTATATAATCTCAGGTAGGTAAGCATGACCTAGAGCACTGGTGACAAATTCAAACAAAAATGGGAAGCACTAAATTAGATATAAGGATGCCTATAGGCTGACTTAGTTTTAAAATGTAATAGTATCTATGTTTCATCATATTTTTAGTTATCTTGTTAAATATTTCCCAATTAAGGTTTTCATCTGGTTCAGGCTGCACTCAAGAATAATGGCAGTCCACGTGTCTGACATCTCAGGTATAGAGGACAGAAATTAAACATAGGATTAAAACCTCACCTCTGATATTTAGGCTGTATAACCCTAGGCAAGTCAGTTAAATTCTGTGTGCCTTGGGCAATTCCCTGAGAATTATTTACTAACCCACAGATTTATAGATGAAATCACAGGCTGTTCAGAAACCACGAATCCTTTATGTAAACCTTGCTAAAATGGGCACATATAATTATATGGTACTGTGCAAGAGAATGACCTCCCCTCTCTACTGAATTTTGAAGTGCATTACATTCTTTACTGCAAATAAACAAAGATCTCCAACATAAACAAGTTAGATGTTAACAATTTATTTTAAATGATAATTATTGAAGACTGCATAACTCAAGGGATACGGTAAAGGTCAGTAACATAATACATATAAATATGATTGATATTCTAGAGAAGACACTAAAATGCAAAGTATATCATATGATGAAAGAATTACAAGGAAAGGTTACAACTGAGTGAAAAGAGAATAGGGATACAAAACCAAAAAAAGAATCTCGGGAATTACCTCCTTACAAACTAACTTTCCTGGCAATCTCAGACACAGTAATGGTTAAATTAACTCAAAAAAATATATAATGCTGCTTCCTTTAAGGCACTCAACATTTTTAACAAATAATTAAAAAGGACTATTTGAATAGCAAACTTTTTTTTAAAAAATTCCCTAAAGTCATCCTGGGACTTATTTTTAAGCTTGAAATTTACTGTTCTTTTGTTTTTAATTTACCTTTTTGCTACCAGAAGAGCTTTTCTCCATTTTGTCCATTTTAATGGCATCGTTGCCTTTTTCTTTGCCTGAAGACTTAGATTTGTTTTTTTCCTTCTCATTTGAACGAGGAGAATCTGATGGACTTTCACTTTTACTATGTTTTGAAGCACCAGCTAAAATTGCAAAGAAAATGATGAAAGCCCTTTTCTATTCAGTCTGGGGATGCTTACAAATGAATTTGAAAAATCTACCTACTTGTTCCATTTTCCTCTTTACGCCTCTTGGAGTCCTGGGGTGCTTCACGGTCATTGTTTGAATGATCCTAAAGCAAAGATGAATTATGGTGTAAGCATATAAAACTTGTTACAAACTATCAATAATAACTAGCACTCTATAACAGTTCTAATATTTTCACTTACTTGGAATTGGCTTTTTAAATTATTAAAGCCAAAATCAAGTTACTACCTGAAGTTCCTTGTTATAAAAGATTAAAAGTTCTGAAGTGTATTTTAATACAATACAATGGCTAGAGATAAAGCAATTATTTTTAAGCTCTAGTTATATGTATGTTTTTCAAAATAGGTTTTTAAAAAGGTCACTAACCCTTTTCCGTTCTTTCCTGTCCTTGTCCTCTTTCTTCTCTCTCTCTCTGGATCTTTCCCTTAACTTGTCCAAATCTTTCTTTTCCATTTCTCTCTCCTTACTCTTGGACAGTATTGGAGTAGTGTGATTAATGTAGTGCTGTGAAATTGAAGAAATATTGCTAAAGATTAGAAGTTTCCAGTATTTTGAAAAAAAAATTTTTTTTAATGGAAGACAGCTGGATTTAGAGCCAAAATTAAATTAGCCAGGTCTCTAGATTATTGAAGAGTAACTGAAAACCTTGGCATAATTAACCCAAAGTCTTCAATTCTTGATGTTTGATAAGTTTTCATGTAAACTAATTATTTAACCTACATATTTAACAACTAAAGATAGTTACTAAATTCCCATACTAGAAATTTTTGGGTAGTGTTACTATCAAGATGACCATATGTTGACTTAGGTAAGAGCCAATTTAAGACAACAGTTTAAAAAAATCAACATGAAGATACTCACTGAGTTTTCCTAAACATGTTATGTTAGTGTAAAGAGAATTCACTGCCATTGATCAGAATTTTTTAAATGATTACAAGTGACAACTAAACCTCTTCCTGCATGAAATGCCCTTGGGGGGATAAAAAAAAAACATACACAGAACTTTTGGCCTTTACTGCACAAAGCTGTTAGATCTCCAGAATAAAGATAAAAATGGCTGCAAAAAGACTTTCTTGTTGCTTTAAGAAACCCAGAAAATCGCCCATTAAGTTCAGTATGGAGAAACAACTCAAATACCGAAAATGACAATTCACTGTTTCCTCCTGCCTTTCCCTCTTCCAAGGAATAAAAAAATACAGAACCAAAATGCCTCCTATATAAGCTTAATCATGAATAAATAGGACCTGACTTTATACACTCTTGTTGTAATTTAACAATATATTTTTAAAATTATTGGAAAACACCTAAACAATAGCTTATTATTTTATCTAAAAATCATTAGTTTAAAAATTCAAAGAATCATTAAATGATACACTTCAACGTTAGAAAGAAACGTATTCCCCTCTCTAACATCCTTGAAGACTAGCCATCTACCCTCTGCTCCAACACTTCCAGTAATACAGGATTCACTCTAGAGACAGGCCATTCCATTTTGTAGAGTTCTATTATGATATGGTCTTTATACTGAGTCAAAAAAAAAAAAAGCTTAGGTATGACTTCCATCCACTGGTAGGATTTCAACTCAAATTGCTCTCTGGAGTTATACAGAATAAGTCTGATCTCTTCTTAACACTTCAAACATTTAGAAACATATATTTATGTTACCTCCAAGTCTTCTTTTCTGTACTATGAACACCCCTAGTTCTTTCAACACTTTCTAACATGGCAGTTTTGAACCCCCCCAGTAAACCTCCTCTGGATTCATTCCAGGTTTTCAATGACCGTTTTGAAATGTGGTACCCAGAACTGGAAATGATACTCTAGATGTGATCTAATAAGGGCTAAGTACACTTCCTTATTCCAGGCACTATAAATTAACACATCCTAAGATCACATATGACTTTTGTCAGCCATCAGTTGTAAGCCTGTACTGAACAAAAATCCAAGTCGTTTTTAACACAAATGGCTGTTAAGCCTATCTTCCCCCATCCTATTCTTGTGAAGGTAATTATTTTTAACATAAGTACAAAACTTTACAGTATTTTATATTCAGTTTCATTTAGATTTAACCCATTGTTTCAACCCATTAAAATTTTTATGGATCTGGATTTTGTTCTATATTATATTATTTCTCTTACCGAGCCTTGAAATAGCATGCAAAAAAATGAAAAGTATATCATCTGTACCTTTTTTTAAAAACATTTTGTTGGTTTATTTTTTTTTCTTTTAACATCAGTTACTTACATACACACACACACACACACACACACACACGTTACCACTACCATCACCAAACTATCCTTTGTAACAACAGCAAATAGTTAAGCACACCTGACTAAGACTGGAGTAACATATACAACATACCACAGAAATTTACTTTATCATCTGTTCTCCAGGACCAAGATGGAACAGTCACTGCAATTAAACTAAGTTCAGCTGATTTTTTGTTTTGCATTGTTTTTGTTTACATTATCCATCTTTATCCAACTCACTAATAAAAATGTTAAACAGGACAAGAAGGATGGAAATCCAAGATGTAGTACTACAGGCCTCTCTTACAGATTGATATCACTGTTAACCAGTTACAAATAAATCCATCTAACAATCATATTTATCATCCCAGCTGACATTTCTCCATCATTCTCACATATCTGAGCTAAATGAGTGGCTTTGTTAAGATGGTTAGCTGATATTAAACTCTGCACATACTCTTTGACCCAGCAATTCCTCTCCTAGGTATATACCCCAAAGAGATCAAACAAAGAGGGAAAGGACCCATATGTAAAAAACTCTTACAGCAGTTCTTTTTGTAGTGGCAAAGAATTGGAAACTGAGGGGCTGCCCATCAATTAAAGAATGGCTGAACAAGTTATGGTATGTGAATGTGATGGAATACTATTGTACAGTACGAAATTATGAAGAGGATGGTTTCAGAAAATCTCGGGAAGATTTTTATGAACTGATACAAAATGAAGAACAATAACAATATTATAAAGACAAGGAATTTTTGAAAGACTTAAGAACTCTGATCAGTGCAATGAACCACAATTTCAAAGGACTTGTGATGAAACATTCTATCCGCCTCCACATAGACAAGTGATAGACTCAAGATTTATATACAGATTTAAGCATATTTTCTTGTTTCTTTCTTGGGTGGGGAGGGGCAACATGACTACTGCCTGAATTTATTTTTCATGACTATAAACACAGGTAATCGGTTTTATTTTTCTTGCTTTATCAATGGGTAGGAGAGGGGAAAGGGAAAGAATTTGTAATTCAAAATAAAACAATTTTTAAGAGAAAAAAAAAAGATGATTTGCTGAAATTCAGATGAACTATCAAGATCTAGATAAGACTAAATGTCCACTAACAAAGAACTTATGAAATTCTGTAATTCTTCTCTACGGCATTCCCTAAAGTGACCTATTACTCTTATTGAAGAGAAATTAAGGAATATTTAACCAAAATAGCAATTCAAACAACTAATCAAAACTGCAGATAATCCAAAAGACAATGTAATAACATGGTAGATGCAACATATTAGATTCTGTCCTAAGCCCTTTTCTCCCTCTATACCAGAGACTCTTATCCTGGTTTAAATGGATTCCCCCAAGGGTGAGGACAGAGATGCTGGGGAAAAAAAATCTTTATTTTCACTAATGTCTATAGGGTTCACCAGACTGCCAAATACAACCTGATACAAAAAAAACGTTAAGGACCTCCACTCTAACTTTTCCCCACCCCTCTTGGTAACCTCATCAGTGCCCATGGGTTTAGCTATCTATATTCAGATGATAATCAAATGTATCCAGCTCCAGTCTCTCTTACCATCAAATACCTAATGGATATTTCAAACTGAACCTGACACTCAAATGTCTAAAACTGAATTTATTACCTTTCCCCCAAACTATCCCCTCTTCCCAACATCCACATTTCTGTCAAAGGTACCAACATCTTTTCGGTGTCTTGGGTTCATAACCTTGCCATTATGCTGGCCTCCTCACTTTCCTTACTCCCCCCCATACCTTTGTCTCACATAATCCTCATCTTCCATCAAGATGCAGCTCTAGGTCCAACCTCTACAAGTCTTTCTAGATTCCAAATGCCAGGGTTCTCCTTCCCAAACTACCTTGCATTAACTATTTTATGTGTATATAGTTTATATGTATTTATTAACCTTAAATTTTGTGCTGTATACATTTTTATATGTACCTTCCTTTTTGTCTCTGCCATTAGAATGTGAGTTCAATGAAAAATTAATAGGCATTTAATAAATACTTGTTTACTGATTATAAGCAAGAATGAAAAAAAAGATTTCAGAAATACGACTAGAAAAGAAGGTGGGCCAGTTATGTATTATGAGGAAGGCATAACAGGTGAACAACCTTACTGCTGCAATAACACCCAGAAAACATTAAAGTCAGTCAGTCGCAAGCATTTATTAAGTGCTTACTATGTGCCAGGCACTGGTCTAAACTCTGGCAACCACTCCACCCAGAATGTAAATTCCCTGGGGAAGAAGGACTGTTTTGCTTTTCTATCCCTACTATAGTATTTTGTACACTGTAGACTTTATCAGTTTTCAAAAGAAAAATGATAATCATAATTACAAAAGTTCTCTCCCACTAAACAGTGGGCTCCTTGTGATTAAGTACTGTTTTTTGCCTTTGTATCTCCAGTACTTAGCACAGTGACCATTAATAAGTACCTATTATTAACAATGAAACATGCTATCTTCAGATAGAAAGCTAATAGAAACATTTTTCTTTTTTTTGGGGGGGGGGTGGAGAACATGACAAAGGCAGGAGTTTGTTTTGTTCGACTATATCCGTATCTCTATATAGAGTTTATAAAAAAAGAATATAGATATCTCTTGTTTTTCTTGCCCTTACAATAGATGGGGGAGAGGGAAGGGAAGGAGAGAATTTGGAATTAAAAATAAAACTGAATTTAAAAAGAAAATTAATAAATACCTATTGAATTTAATCAATAATAATATGAAAACATGACTTAAATAAGAGAAATACACATTTTAAAAATTTTTGGCTTTACCTTATACCTAGAAAAGTGGATGAATGATAAAAAAGACAAACAGTCAATGTTGGAGGAACTATGAGATAAGAAGCACAGTATTAACATTGTTGGCAGAACTGTGATTAAGTCCAATCATTCTAACAAACAATATTGAACTTTTGATCTTTGATTGATTTTTTTGGCAAAAATCAATAAACCTGTGAGATCCTTTGACCCAGTGATCCCATTGGAAGAAAAGATACCTCCTGAAGGGTCAAAGCTGGTTAACAGATTGGGGGGAAGAAAAGCTATCTACACACAGACAGGAACCCACAGACACCCCTCACACACACCGCACCCCCCCAACCCCCACACACAGACACACAGCACATCTCATGGCCACAAAAATGTAGAAAGAGTGGGTATGCCTGTTCTGGGCTGGGTGTGACTCAGGCCAGTGTTTTGGTTGTTGCTGTCCAGTCGTTTCAGAC